ACCGGATCGGCTATAATTAGAAGAGCCAAAACCGCACAAGCGTTAACAGCAAAAGCGCCCGAGAGACGCATTTTGTTTGCTTTAAGAAACACTAAGCTAAGAACCGATTGGAAATATGTATATACAAAAATTCCCAAGTTGATTTGCCAAGCGTTGCGACAACTGATCGGTCTCAAAGCTAAGCTACGACTGGTTGAGCCGGTGATATTCGGGAATTAATAAGTGGTCGAATCTGTCTAGGTATGTATTTTGTACATATGTATGTCTGTATGGGACTAGGTTTAGGGATTGATGTTATCAGCGAAGAAAGAAGAATTATATAATTAAAGCAGAATACAAAAAAAAAAAAAAAAAAAAAATATATATATATATATATATATAAACAACAACAACAACATCACGGTGCTAGACTAGGATTAGGAGCAGCTATTATAATATTCTAGATGGTATCTATATACAAACGTACGGAGGCTGTGAAGCTGCCACGCATACACAACGATATAGTAATTAATCTCCAATTTTTAATTAACAAGACTAATGTTAACGTTAATGTTAATTTTAACATTTAACTAATTAGGAAAAAAAAAACGAAATAATAAACGCAAAAAAAAAAAAACAAATTCATGACAGATTTTACTTAATGCAAAACTGTATAATTGATATTCACACAAAAACAAAGAATAATAAGTTCGTTGCCATTGACCTTGTCGAGTCAATTATTTTTAATATAAATTATACTAATCTCAAAAAAAAAAAAAAATAAAATTATAGTTATAAGTATATGCACACATATGCATACACATATAGAAATGTATATTTAATGAGCTAAATTATCGATAAGAACTGTGAGTAGAAATCATAAAATGATAAATGTTTTAGCTGAGACACTTAATTAATTAAATGTGCGCATGGAGAAAGGTGTGCACATATAGATATCAGCTCTATAATAAATGTTTTCATAAAAAAAAATAAAAATAAATAAATAAAAAAATATATATAAAAAATTTTGACAATTATCAACTTCATTTATCATTATGTTTTTTTTTTTTTTTTTATGTTAAATTAAACGCGTTAATTCCGATAGAAAAATGTAATGTCAGCTCACTATCGCTTAAAGTTTAGCGTTGAATAATCATTTTGTTAACAATATTTTTTCCATATCTGTTTTAACAAATCAGTGGCTTAGAATTCCCAAAATTAATAAGATTTTCTTGTTTATTCCTATTTTTCTATTTTTTATTTTTTTTTTTTCGAGTTTGGATTTCGAAGAATATATTGTTTTCGATGTAATTTTCAACAAAAACTAATTATAAATCTAGCTAGAATTATTAGATCTGAAATAGAAAAAAATGTACTATTTTTTTCGAATGGCCCCGTTCCCTTCCAAGGTGGATAGATATGAACATTAATCTTAACCAATCTGTATAAAGCTCAAGTTCTAATATAGCTTATATCATATAGGGTAAGATATAATTGATATCTCTTTACAGTCAAACACAACTCAAGGAGTTCTCAAGAGCTGAACTCTGTTTGGAAATATAATATAAATATAAATTTGTTTATTTTTTTTTAGTGAAGCTGATTGTATTGTATCCAGAATAGTTTTTATTGCACCATTTTGATGCCTATATAGGTGAAGATGATAATGGAGCAGCCAATGACTGAGTATTGCAGCTTATGGGAAGCGACCTCCCGAGAAGTTGTAGCCAACATAGCGAGTATGAAGCGCCAGAAGCTGCGACGTCGATGACGAGCCGACTGTGGATCACACAATCGCCTATCGCCATTGCCATTCAGATCCTTCATCACCGCATCGGCTTTATGTTTATGACGTTCCTCCGTCTTTGCATAGTCCATGTTCATAAAGTTGATTGTGCACAGCACGCGCTCCGATGAGACCTCGCCCTCTTGCTCCATGTTTGTCCACGAACTGGTCCTTGGTTCTCCACGATTGATGAAACGTTCCGCCACATGCAGCTGATGCCTCGTCTCGGATGCCAGGTCCGTCTCTGAGACATGCGTTTTAGGATCGAGTATATTCTCGACATTGCTGCTGGCGAGAGTTAGATATTCCGTGGCCGTCACTTGGCTGGTGCTCGAATCGGAATAGTACTCAGCGCTCGATGAGGACACACTCGGTTTCCTTTCCACGGCAATGTTGGAGGTGCGACCCTGTGGACGTAGCAGATGCAACTGTGGCTGCCCATCGGGCTGTGAGTGTATGTGGTGCTGGAACTGTTGCTGGAAAAATAATGGTATCTGATAACCATACGTTAAGTTTGGTTTCCTCGTTGACTCGCCATGAGTTTGATACTCGTATTGTTCCTGCTGCTGGTCTTGCTCCTGCTCCAGCTCCAGCTGCTGCTCCAGCTCCCGCTGCTGCTGCTGTTCTGTAGGGTGGTTGCGTCTGTTGTACATCTGCTGGCGCTCATACTCGAACTGTTGATACTGTTCATACTCCTGCTGCTCCTGTTGCTGCTGCTCGTCATCGTCATCTTCGTTGGCCATTCGCTCGTCCTCGTCGTCCTCCAAGTTGTTCTCGTCGTACTCCAGCTCGTCCCCGTCCTCAATAGACGAAGCCCTGTGCTTTAACTCCTCCTGCTCATCGCCTCCACTGTGCCGCGAAGGGAGGCGCGCACCCCGATACCTTGAGAACAGCATCCGGTTGTGGACATCGCGAAGTCTGTCATCCTGTGACCAAAGATTGCCAAAGTACGACCGATGATCATCATTGAAGTTGTACATGAGATGACGCGCCCGCCACTTGGCACGCTCGGCAATAATGGCCACGTGCAGCCGCCGCTCCAAATGGCGCCGCTCCACGGGCTGGCGTTCGACCACATTGTAGTTGTAGCACAGAACATCCAGCTGGCTGCCAGTCAGCTGCTGCAAGTGGTCTATGGTGGATGGCATGGTGTTAGCTCCGCTTTTGTTTTTCTTTTTTTTTTTTTTGCCCTATTGATTGACTGGCGTCGACAGAGTTTCCCTACACCTCGAAGTACTCTAAAAATATAGCTCTGGAGATATATTTGGTTTCAAATGTCCAGCCCGTCTTTTTACCATCAATTTTGATCTGCTCGATGCCATCAATTTAAAAATTTTGTTTTAAAATTTTTTTGTTGTAAATTTTTAATATTTTGTCATTTGGTCAAGAGATAAATTTCAATGCCCTATAATATTTTACTTGAGTTACTATTTGTTTCCCTAGATTTATATCGATCTTATAGATATTATCATCTATATTGGAGCTCGATTTGTCCTATATCTTTTCCTATCTTCTTTTATATCAAATTTTATAAGTCCTGCACCACGAGTAGTTGTGGTGTTGCGATCTTTCCGATTCGCCCCGCCCCTTGTAGGAATAGATAAGCTAAGATTTGAGATTTATATTGCCCTTTTTCAGTTCTATATGTTTGCACTCTCTTGTTTCACAATTCTTACCTAAAGTTCTTGTCTTATTGGCTCTTCTTTGAAATCCCTTCACTTTGCTCGTCGATCAATCATCGTACCACTGGAACTTTCTCTGTTCAGTTGTACCACAAGTTCTAATAATATGAACAGCACTGTGACTTAACTGTTATGTTACTGCTCTCACATTTATTTTTGTCATTGAGAATATTATACATTTATGTTGTTTTACACACAAGACTTTAAAATTTGACAAATGCATTTCCAAGGTTCTTGATTCAAACCAGAGTTTAGTGCATTCCTTAATAATGAGTTGGCGTTAGACCAGAATTAGATTGGAGATATTCTGGTATTCTGTATTTGATATCGTTTAGAAGAATTTGATGTACTTTTTCTGGTCAGGTGAGTGTTAACTCAGGTGTTTGCAGACAGGCAGTTCTCCAATTTGAGGTTGCTTACATTCCAGAAATAGAATAAGCTCAGAAGATATGTATTGTTCCATGAAGGATACTAAGTTGAACTCTCCAAAAGACAGGCGAATAAGGCAATGGGATCATCCAATTATATCAATGCCTAGGCTAATGCTCTTACTTTTTATGTTTGATGCTTCCTTAGTGTACGCTAAATACGCATCATGGAGCAATGAAGTTCCCCAGCTTGAGGCGGAGCATGAGAAGCTTGGACAGAACCACTATCCATATGCCGAGCTCACTCGATATTATTCGAGCCCTAAATATAATGCAGAACCGACATATAATACCTTTGGTATGATGCCATTTCACTTGTTCACACGTATTTTAATTAGCAAAACTTCAAGAGTACCCAATGGTAGATTGAAAACCCAACTAATAGTTGGATAAGTAAAGTAATCAATGTGAATTCCTTTGCTATAGAGTATATAACGGTAGCTAATGGCTCGAATGCCCTGGCCTTCGGTAAGCAGTCTATCGAAAATTCATGGGCCAGTTTGCTTTGCTGCAACAAATTGGTGTTTGTCTGGACAATTCTTCTACTATTTCTTATAATTGCCATACCATTCGTTGCGTAAGTAATATATGGTAAATCGGTGTATATCGAACTAAGTTAACTCCATATAATAATAAAATATTCATATAGTATCACCTATTTTTGCTTTTGCTTCTGCCGTTGCCCCACTGTGTGCGAGTGTAATGAATATGCGGACCGTCGAATGCGTCACATTTGGAGCGTTGGGCTAACGCTGCTTATAGTTGGCCTGGTGTAAGTTTAATACCTAAATCTAGTAAGAATTACCTTAAAATTGCGAAGTACAGCTTTGGTTTAGTCATTGTAATGCTAAATGATAAGCTAATTGGTCAAGGCGTTCGGCAAAATTGGGATAATATGCAAATAGATCGTGAAGATATTTGCACATTTATGAGAGATATATTGGATAATATCCATCACGTTTTTGTGAACAACTTTGAGGAGTTCGAAACGCATATAAATGCTCAGCTGAATGGTAAGCGAATATAACTAATCGCCAGATCGCCTTTTCTATTTATTCATTCACAGATGTCGACAATCACATACTTTTGGATCTAAGCGATATTTCGGGGCTCAATGCTCTAACCGACCTAGAGGAAATACTCTCGAATATGCCCAGGGCGTTAGCTTTAATGAAACGTGTCGATAAGGATATAGAGACATTATTATTCTATATAGCCCAATATAGAGATGGTATTAACTATATAATTTGTTTTTATATATCTTAATATATTTTTAATTTAGGTCTACGTTTTGTTAGACGTAAAATGACCTATTTGCTAACGGTCTGGTGTGACTATCAGCAATGCAACGATATTCTGCGGAGCTCTGGCATTTTGCAGTGGGACACCTCAGTGTGTCTGCACCTGGATTTAGTATGTTCCGAGTCGAATAACTTTCAATTGTCATTAATTGACAAATTAATATTATCGTTACAGTTGCCCAACATAAGCGAGTTTATAGAGAGCTTGCAGGATATCATAAGAGCTGATTTGTTATATATACCAAGGCAAGGCATATACAACTATCAAGTAGTTGGCAAAATTATTAGGGAAAATTTGCATGACCAGCTCCCATTGATTTCAATGAAGCTTGCCAAATTGAGTGAGACTTACAGGCAAAATGTCACTCATTTGCAGGGTTTAATCCGATCGATAATCAATGATATTTATAGCCAACACTCACACATGACAAAAGGCTTTCACGAGCTCCAACAAAGCTATGGAAGTGATCGTAAACTCATTAGCATAGCTCTATCTGTGTCAATATTAACGGTAAGAGACGATACATATATTCGTATTTTAAGTGTGAGCCCATTGAAAATACGAATTTAGGTTTATCTATAATATATGCATTGACCTTAGCACTTGTAGAAGTAGCTAGTTTGATATATTGCTTGTATGTCTGCCTATAAAATGTTATTAATAATTTCGTAATTACAAATATATTTGTCTAATATACATAACACGGAATTTTCTATTCGAGCACTATTTTAGAATTTTTGCTTTAAAATTTGATATCAAGTAATTAATAGTTTTAAAACTGATATTGAGAGTTATCTACTGAATATAATTATGTGTTATTATTTTCTTATTTTTAGATTACGATCATCTTGATTGCTGCACTTATTTGCGGATGGTGTGTACGTAGAGATAATTCGGGATCCAAATGCTTGTTACTGTGAGTAGTAAATACAAACTTATTCGTAGTCTCTTACTCTGTATTTCATTGCGGTCGTCTCGTATCCCAATATCCTTTCATTTTCAGGGCCATGGTATTGATATCATTGATTTCGTCACTTATGTTACTTGTCTGTTTGTTCTACTCTATAATGGGCTTGATCATGTACCATGCTGTATGTACACCCCGAACCTCTTTGGAGAGACATGACGTTTTCGATACTCATGTGAATCACCCATTCAACAAGAATGAAACCATGTGTCATGAAAATCAAAACATCTTTGATCTGCTACGTGTTGCGGGTTTATATGATGTAAATAGTCTATGGAAGGAAATGTCGGACAATATAACACCAGAATATATTATTGAATTTAGGGATGACCTAACCAAGCTTGTAATTTTAACGGAAGAGCAGAAAATTAGGCTCAGTCACACGCGTAACGGGAAGCTATCGGATTATCATGGTCTATCGATCCGAAAAGTATTGTGCCACAAATTATCACAGGTTGATCTGATGAAGTGTAAGGTTTATTTACTGGAGTTTGCAAACAAATTTCTAAATAGTGCCAAGCATTCGCTCGCCTATCAGTATCGTATGAATGCCACCATTAATAATATGCGCCTGTTGAGCAACGACATAAATCAAATCGCATCCCTAGAACGGCCAATCCATGATTTGATAAATCGCATCTGGAAGGATACGACTACGATTGACGGGCTTATAACGAGATACGAGGACTTTAATAACTCAATCTTACTTCTAATCGAAGAGATAACAGAGGCCGAATATTTCCTGCATACGCGTGGCGCTGAGTACATAAATGCATTAATACAAGAATTCTACCAATATCTCGAAAAAGCATTCGATAAATATGTGCAACGTGTTAGCGAGGAATGTAAATATATCATTGGTCGTTGTGTGCCCTTGGCCCTGATCCATAAGCGCTCCCTCAACAATCTCTGTCATTATTTGGTCGATCCCATTGTAAGTTGCTCTGGAGCTGATCTGATTTAATTATTCTTCCTGAATTGTGAACTTCCCAATCGATATATGTATGTATATTTTTTTCGATTATAGAACGGATATTGGCTTGGCCTATTTACTTGCGCTCTACTCTTCTTTCCCATCGTGCTCGTTGCCCACAAGCTCTTGTGCTTGTACAGGGTATATGGTCATATAGGGAGTGCAATTATTTATTTCAATAGCGCCCACTTCGCCTGTCCTGCCTGCACGGATACGCCATTTGTACCGGCACCCTATGTCATCAGCGCCGGCAATCAGATTCATTTATGTGGCTGCGAGGAAGCATTCAAAGAGAAAGATGCATAACAATCAAGTGAGAGCGAAGATATGAGTGATATGATTCAGCACAATGTGGCCAAAAACTGAACGATTCACACAGAGTTCAATTTCAGAGGAATATAAGAATATATAATCTAAAGGTATCTGAAAATCATACGCATTTTATTTAAATGTCTTTTAAAGTGAACAGGTGTTAAAAAGGTAGAAATAAAAATAAATGTATATAAAATAAATAAATAAGAATTTATTATTTTTTTATATTTACTTTTTACTTACCTAATATTTTAATAAAAATATAATTAATTACTGCCTTCTGCCTTCAACGATATGACGCAAAATGTCTATAGAAACAATTACCATAACAATACCCTCGAGCGAGGACATAATATTGCTAACCTGCTAGAGGTGTAGAATATTTGGTTCTTTTTCATTGAAATTATAAATTTCCAGAGTCCAATTGCTATACAATAAAAAAAAAAAACGAAAAATATTTCACTCATTTCAGTTTATCCTTGCCAAGTGTAAGAAATATTCAAAAAAATTGTGCATTAATTTTTTTTGTTTTATTAATATTATTATTATCATATATAGATATATATTCAAGTATATCGTAATCATAGCTTCATGATTTCGCATAGGGTATGTTATTTTTGCTTCTGTTGCTGCATATTTTACTGAGTTTACTGTTAATACCACCAATTATTAACATATCAGACATACTGTAAAGCTTAGTCTATAGAAAGCTCTGTCCCTAGTAAGCTTAATCGACAGCTTTGAATTGAAATTGAAAGCTAAATTTATAGAAAGCCCAATATAAAGCTAAGCATATGTAAAGCTCGGGCTATAGTAAAGCAAAATTTATAGATTGGCTATACAAGAATTCCTCTATTTAAGATCGTTGTCATTAACTACTAAATCTGGAGACTACAAATTTTAAATATATATTACAATATATTTATAAATAAAGCTTACCAGTTAAAATTGCCAAATTGATTCATGATCTTAAAACCTCTTTCACATTTTAAACATTAGACATTATATTAAGCTATACTCTTATAGCTGGGCTTTTGCATACGAAAAGATAACTCTGCGTCGAGCTGTAGGTTACTGTAAGTTGAGACTATATTCCCTTTTAATTATCCAATATTATAAGAACGTAAATCTCTACAGCGCAATTATTTTAATGTTTGCCGTGTTGTCATTCACGCTTTGATTGGTCTTATATCCGGCGTGTATTTTGTACGATGGCGAGGGGCGAAACACATTCTATTCGCTGCTAGAAAATGTGCTACAGAAATCGAATGCGGCAAACAATACAGAATTATATCGACCGACTGAATTTCCCGCTGGATTCAAAAAGTGGAGATCAATCTACATTTATGTATGACATCGCTCTAACTTTAGCTCATTCAAATATAATTTTTTTTTTTTTTTAATTGCAAAACTAAGTTTTATAAAATCATTAAATTTTGGGCTTCCAGATGAAAATACTTTAATTATTTTTTTCTGCATGTCCATACTGATTAGTATTTTAGTAGGAACGGAATATAAAATATTAATATTAATATTTATAACGCATATATACAAAAATTAATTTTAATATTTAAAACTCTAGATTTATTTTTAATTTGACTATCAATGAGCAGGAGAGCCATTAACACTTACCAAAGCTTTTCATTTCCCGGGCGGCAGATCATATTCTTTGTTGCTTTAGCTTCTGTGGTATTACGAAAGTAATGATAATTGATTAAGTTACCTAAAATCTAAGCTAAGCTGAAGTGATTTACACAAATGAATGCCATAATAATTTTAATCATAATTATTCAAATTACGATAAAAGAACATTTCAATTCGTGATCGAAGTTCATGAATGTAGAATATGTATAAATAATATTAACGCATATCAAGTATACATATGTATATTGGCAGCTCTATAATACCCTGAAACAAGTGGATATTCGGAAATTTGGTCCATTTTATATAAGTACATGTACAGATTCGAAAATTTTATTTTTGTAAACATTTAGACTACACAAAACTACAAATGGCATATGTAATGCATACATAATTATTATTAATATTAATATTAATATTATATTAATTAATTGTCAATACTTTATTTTTTTAACTTGTTGGCTAATAAATTGAAATTGTTCACTTAGTTTTAATAAATATGCAATGTAATAAATAATATTACTATTCATTTTATTTACGGTTTCTTTCCATTTAGTATTTTTGTTGTATTGCTTTTCTTTTTTTAAATGTTGCTGACATCTAATCATTATTAATTATTGTCATTAAATATGCGTCGCTTGAAAATTTGTTCATATTTTGTAATATATTTTATTTATTAATTTCTTTTTTTTGTTTTTAATTATACTTAAGCTATTAAGTATTTACAAAGCTCAACTTCGAACAAGAACTCTAAACGGCATTGAATTTGTATTTGATTTTTTCATCTGTCATAAAATTTGAGCAAAACTAATTTTATTTAATATATTTATGTAATTATGTCTTTTTTTTGTTCCTAACACAAATCTGTGCTTTTTATACAAATCTCTATGTTTCTTTTTACTTTTCAATGTAAATATATTTCTTTTTTGGAAGTGCATAAACAATCTATAGCAAATGGCTTGATATTTAATTATTTGTATAATTATGAATTAATTGCATAACAATTTTACTTGGCTTTAAATATATATATTTATATATATATATGTATGGCTAAGTATGAAAATGTAATTTAAATTTGAACTCAGTTTAATTTAATTATATTCATAATTATTTACATCATGATGTATGCTAATTAATACGTTTAACGGAATAATATCCAAATTGTTTGTGTGTTTACTTTCTGTGTTTGTTTCTTGTCTGTTTGTTGATCTTTCGATATGTCTGGCGCCCTCGCAGACAATCGTTTGCAAAATAAATTCGTTGATGTCTTATGACAGCATTTACAACTGTTGCAAAAATTGCGTCTTGGCCGCTTTTAGCCGCAAACCAAATGTTGAGGCCAGCCGACGATAGCGCGAGTGGATTGTCTCATTCCCATCTTCATCGGAATCACTATCGATATCGTCATGCTGCTGCTCGTCCTCAAGCACTCATCGTTTGCGATTATAGGCGCCAAGCATTGACTGCCTTCATTCTTTCATCTCGTGTCCACTGGTGCCCAGCTCGAGGAGCTCATGGGGCTCGGCATTTAGCTATATTCAGATGTGTGTGTGCATTCATAAGTTAAATATATATATATTTGGAAATTATTATTCTACATCCATGAGAGATGCGTACTCACCCGGTCAACGCTTGCCAAATCGTTCTTAGACAGATGATTGACCAAAATAGTGCCCAGAGCATCACACATGACATTGATAGTGGTACGGAAACGATCCCTAAAGCAAGCAAATATCAATAAATAAATATCATAGATACAGGAGCCAGTACATACAGCAGCCAATCGACCGCGATGATCAGCGAGACATCCTTGGGCTCCAGGCCCACAGTGTCCAGTACCATGACCATTGTAACGAGGCCCGCCTGTGGTATGCCCGCCGCACCAATCGAGGCAGCCGTTGCCGTTATACTGACGGCCACAATCGTGCCAAACGAATAGCTCATCTCGCGATACTGGGCTATGAATAATGCAGCCACCGCCTCATACAATGCAGTTCCATCCATATTGATCGTAGCACCCACAGGTATGACGAATCGTGTCACACGCGGATCGATGCCCATATTATCCAGGCATTTAATGGTCAAAGGCATGGTGGCCGAGCTGGAGCCCGTGCCGAAGGCGGTGGCCAGCACTTGACTCAATTTGGCTATAAAGCGATACGGCATGCGACGTGTGCCCAAAAAGAAGATGACTGCAATTGTGCCTGAAATTGATTGGAAATCAAAATTTCATTAATCAACTAAACTTGGTGAACGTTGCCAATGTAAGTCACTTACCAAATCCATGCAAAAAGAGGCCAATCATAACGGTTATGAAATACCAACCTAAGGATTGTATTGTCGCAGCTATAGACTCCATCTCAATGATCTTGGCCGCGATCAAAAAGGCCACGCCCAACGGGGATATCCTGTAAATGAAGAGCAAGTTACCATTTAGACTCTGAGTCAATTTTTAACGGCATTTATATTTATTTTTACTTACCAAATGACCCACGATGTTATTGTCATCATGGCCTCACTGAGCGTCGTAAAGAAATCCTGCAACAGTTGGCCCTTCTCACGCATACGGCCAATGGTTGTGCCCAGTATGACGCTGAACATGACCAGACCCAGCACATTGGAGCCCTCACGCTGTGCCGACTTGAACTCCCAGTTCTCCATGGGCTCTATAAGGTATATTTGAAATTTTAAGTATCAGATTTTCGTTTGGCTGAGTGACTCAGGGAACTTACGTGCTGGCGTAATGCTGGTGTTTTCAAATATCTCTGTGCGATGCTGTAAGAAAAATTATATTAAATGTAAATATTGAATGATTATCTTTCTCTTCTTCTATATGCATATTTCTTAAATCATAATTAATAAGAAGCAAAGAATTTAATGGTATTTATAGTAATTTATAACGACAACATCATTATAATATGCCTTTCTTTCCATTTGAAATGACTAATTTACATATATTTTATTTTCTATCGCTTTTCATCCATAAAATTACAAAAAATTATGGAATATTTAAAAATTCTTTTTAAAAATCATTATACAAAATATTTAATAGTTAATGTAGACCTTGTAGACCTCTGGTAAATTGTAATATCTTTAGATCAGTTTAGATAAACTGATCAAATATAACCCATAATCTACCTCAACTCTGGAGCTGTTGACATTCTACAAAGATAGACCTTACCCGTTGAGGCAAGACAAATTAACGTTAAGGGAATTTAAAAATATTAATTATAATTACTAAAATTTATATGCCTTACACACGTTGTCAGCATGGCATAGACAGACCTAGCTATGTAAGGGGCACAATTTTGAAAGTGACAATAATCTAATAGCATTTTATTGTTACCTATTGAGATATTTATACTCATGCCCAAACGCAGACGACCGAGAGCCGAGTTGAACTTTGATTCAATTCGCGCTTGATATGT